AATACAATACGGATGAATAAAAGTTGTTCGCATAAACAACGTTCGAAAACAACAGTTTTTCTTATCTCTATATAGCTCTAAATAGTGCTGAAGTCAATTGGTTTTATTTTTCCAGAGGAAATAACGGATACATTGTTGTTACTATTTTCAAACTACGCATCTTCTGTGGATTCAGCAGTGGATACCTTCATCTTATGTTAAGTATATATATATATTAGAGATAATAATCATTATTGGTGATATTATAAGCATATTGTTCAGTTTAGTTTTTGTTAACTTAGTGGATTACTCTGATTCGGCATGCATCTTAGTACATATCACATTAACTGAAACATATGTCACTAGCCAGTATTACATATAAATGTCTACATTTGAAATTTCTCTTAGTACAAAAAGTTTTAGATTACAATGACATCAAACTTAGAAATGATTTCTGAGAGTTTTGAATAAACTTTTATATCAGACTAGTTATGATAACAAAACTGATTCGATAACAAAATAAAATACTTGAATCAAATGCAATTTACATCCATATACAGCAGAAAATTCATGATTCGTTTTTTTTTTCGTATGAAATAAAGTCGATTTAAACTTTTTCAACAGATATATCTAAATATTACAGATTCTTGCGTAACCTTCGCAAGATAGTATGCAGAAATTTAGTTTCTATTCCTTCAAAAAAATTCTTGATATGAAAATTACGAACATGAGTGTTTAGATTCAAGCACGTATTACAGAAACAAATACCATTCTTATAAAAAATCTTTTCTTCGAAATGAAAATACTACTTTCAAAACAAAAAAGCAATAATTTTTCACTAATTTCCATGTGCCAAGATACATTTACGATTAATTCTTGCTGAGATAATACTCAATAATAATTTTAAAAAAATAAATTTCACTTTAAATTTGTGTTACAGATTGAGTTTGGTTGATGACTTATTAATTAAATAATGCTTGAAATTAACAAATGCAAGTGTTATTGAATGTATCGTGAAGCAAAATAATAAAATTGAGATTGAAATTCTAACACGTACTCCATGCATTTCTATTTAACAATGTTTGTCTATCAATCTTAGTTATTTTTAACAGTTCTTGTTCTCTGTCATTTTCGTTCTATTCTTAAACATTTTTCGTGTATGTCTATTCGTGATATATAACTTGTAATAGAATATAATAGCATTATTCTTAAAACTCAAGAAGAAGAAGAATTGCACGTATTAAGAGTCACGAAGATGTCTTGATGTTTGACTATTCATCATCCTGTTCCTCGATCAAACTTCAATATATCTACCACACGTAAACGTATAGACTGATATAACAAAAGGAATATGCAATACAAAAACATCATAAATTATACGTAGTGATCGAATATCTTGATAAAAAAGCAAATCAACTTAACCATTTCATCAATACAATACGTGCAAATTGCTTCTCTTCTCTTATTATACGTTAATCATATATACGACATATCTTGTAGATATAATATCTGCTACGTATATATACTAAGAGAGAACATCGCGAAATCGAATTAAGATAATAGAATATTAGAATGTGTAGAACCTACTTTTCATACTAAGAGAAATTTTAAATGTAGACATTTATATGTAATACTGGCTAGTGACATATGTTTCAGTTAATGTGATATGTAGCATAATATTTAGACAGAATTCGTAATTGGTTTAATGATTTATTAGATGATTTGTAATATTTCCCACATTAATTATAAAATCAATAAAATTTGATTCATTTGATTATATAAGATTTTTTACTTCTAATAAAAAATCATTCTATTATATATTCTATTTTCTAGAAAAAAATTAATATTTTGTCTGTTCAACACAACCATCAGATGACGAATTCCATACAAATGTTAATTGGTGTCACATTGATATTAATATTTGTCTGTTTGGTTAACATAAACAGTTTATCTATAGATGGAACAACAATTGCGGTAGTTCTGAACATTGAAAATACCAATGTAGGAAAAGGTCATATATGTATCATCGATACCCAATGTAATGGTCATGGACGATGTCATCAAAATGATACAGGCTGTGATTGTGATCGAGGATGGATTACACATGGCAACGGTACTGATACGAATAAATATTGTGATTATCAACAACGTTCGAAAAAAATTGCTTTTTTCCTCTCTTTATTCGTTGGTAGTTTTGGTATTGATTGGTTTTATCTTTCACGTGCAAGGCTAGTATATATTACTGCTGGTCTATTAAAATTATTAATCGGATGTGGATGTTGTAGTGCATGGTATTTACTATATTTTCGACCAGAAATCGGAAATTTAGAATTAGTCAAAAAAAACGTTCATGCTGTTAGCATATTTTTTAGCTTAGTCACATTTGTATGGTGGATTGTCGATTGGGCACGTATTTTGAGCAACAAATTTACTGATGGACAAGGAGTAGGACTTACTCCTTGGTAAATACAATAAAAATGAACTTATTACCATTTTTTTTTCTTGTGTTCATTTATTCACTTTCTCGTTTTTGTTTGTTTGAAACGCCTTTTTACACGCTTCTAGCAGTAGCAAGCATTAATTTCATTTTCAATTCATTATTCATTTTATAATAAAATATAAATATTACATTAATCTAAACATTTATTTATTTCGTTTGTTAATTACGAAAAAGAAAAAAAGGATTTAAACAAGATCGTCATCAAATAGAAAAGTTACACTTGTTTCTGATGTTGGTAACGTACGATGAATAAGTAGATCATCTTCATCATTTGGATATTGCATTGCTGATGGTAAATTTCTTTAGAAAAAAAAAATTAAATAAACTTGTATTAGAAAATTATTTTTAAGTCTTTTATTTTACTGTAGTGGAGTTGAAAAAAGTCTTTGACGAAGTGTTTGAATTCGTGCTGTTGTTGCATCAACTGGTGTAACTGTCAATGTTGGTATTATGAGATTACGATTATGTTCATTTTCAGTTGAATTTCGAATTAGTTCATGACTTTTCGCTATTTAATATTATTTTAAAATATTGAATTAGTAAATACAATACTGGCCAAAACTAACGATACCACGTAAAAGTAACTAAAATTCGCAGAGTGACAAATAACGAAGTTGTGGAGCAATCACTACTTTAACTAGAGGACACTTGAATCTCTACCATTCAAGCATCTTCATTTGTTCGAGAACTCTAACCCATTAGCTAGACGTTTAGCCTTTCTACTGTAACGTTTTTTGTGTGCAATCACATTTGTGTTGTTGAGTTTTATCTTTGTATTTGAGAAAATCCTTAGTAGTCGAAGTTTTCTTATAAATGAAAGAGTGATAGCTATTACTGAATAGAAGTTATTGAAGAAACTTGATGCTCATAGTGCAAGACTCCTTATACGCCGAGATCTGCAAGAGTTCAAACGTCATTTCTATTTTAAGAATTAGACGCTTAGTACTTCATTTATCAATCAAAATTTAACTTTCAGCTGACGAAACAACAGAAAAAAACCAAAATTTTTTTCAAAATTATTTCAATGTTTCACCTAAATTTTTGTTTCAAATCAAGACTATGACATGTAATGAGCCTTGCACTATTGACATCAAGTTTCTTTAGTAACTTCTGTTAAGGAATAACTATCATTTTATAATTTGTAAGAAACGATTGTCTGCTATTGAGGATTCGTCAGAAAACTTCTCATAAAAAAGGTGGTTGAAATTTCTCTGGGTTATTGCCAATTTATCTATAGACAATTAAATGCCTGTGACAAACAATTCTCAAATACAGACATAGAACTGAACAAGACAATGATGATTTCATACGAAAACTTTATGGTAGAAAGACTAGATGTCTAATTAGCTAGTGAGAATTCTCGCAGAAATGAAAATGCTTGAATGGTAGAAATCTGGTTACCCTAAGATCAAAGTACTTTTTGACTCATAATTCCATTATTTGTCATCCTATTAAGTGGAGTTTGATGTCTAGGATAAGGAGCTACTGCATTCTATTTGTAATAAAATCTTCACCTGCAACACTTGAGCTTTTAGTTACTTTTACTTCTTGTATAACTAATTTCGGCCAATAGTGTATATACTTACATATAGCAATATCAGGAACTTCTAATGAGACTGCTGGATATATGCTTAGTCGAGGTCGACTTAATACTTCTGCTAATTTTGATTTTGAACCAACAGCCTATCAATAAATATCGAAATTATAATGATAAGAATTCCGTCTCTATTTTTTTGCTTTGAATAAATTACTTTCAAAACTGTATCGAGTAATTTAGGATCTGATTTTGGTGGATGATCAACAATAATTGGTTCTGCTTGAACAACTCCATCATCGTGAGTTGTTTCTTCTTCTTCTGTTTTGGATGAACGTTTCATTAATTTTCTTTAATAGATAAGAAAAAGTCAATAAATTTATTTAAATTCTTTTCTTATTTACTTGGCTTTTCGACGAAGAGCTTTACCAGCTTCTGGAAAATCTTTTAATTGTTCATTTAAATCTGCTTTATGTAAAGTAAATAATGTTGAAAAACCTCGTGAAATTACCTAGAATAAAATAAAGTCTAAAAAAAAAAACTTTAAGAAAAAAAAATCACTCACATCAGCTGTACGTCGATTACCACCTGCTACTTCAAGTAAACTAATTTCACCAAAAACTGCGCCATCTTCAAGACCAGCTATACGTTTGTCATCAATAAATACATCAAGCATTCCATGATTAACAATATACATTTCTCGACCAATTTCACCCTTGAAAAATTTTTATATGAAATTGGTTTCAAGAAAAAAATGTCTAGCTTACCTTTTTACATATATAATCACCTGGTAAAAATAAAGCTGGCTTTAGTTTAAGTACCAATGAGTAAAGAAAAGATCTTTCACAATCCTATTCAAAATATTCAACAGATATATATATGGATTTATGTATATAGAGCCTAATGATGAATACAGAGTAGAATATCATTGTAAGAGAAGCATTTTTTTTAAAGGTTTAGTCAAGTAAAGAACAAATCGAATTTGCAATGATTTGATAATCTATTCAATTCGTTTTGTTTTTAAATAATGCAATTATATTTGTAGGTCAAAGTTAATTCAAGAAAACTATTAAAAAAAGTGTCATCTTATTGTTTTGTAGTATCGCTACTTCGTTTTTTCTTGTACAATCATTTCCATTCTAAGCAATTATTTTCCAATCTTTACACAAAATATTTATTAGCGAATGTAACTTACGTGTACAAAGTCTTTTCACAGCATATTTGATTAATTTTTGTCTATTTATTAGTCAGTGAAGAAAATCAAAATTAATTAGCTAGAATCAAAGTTTTATACGATCTCTAATTATATATTAAGAATTTTTTGTTTTATTTAAAGTCAGTTCATTGAGCACAAATCTTTGATGGCAGCCAAAACTGAGGTTGGTACAATACACTAACTTAAAAGGTATTGGTAAATATGTTATTCTCATGTTTTGACGATCTTGATCTCATTGAAGAAGCTTAAAAGCTGTCAGTTAGAACCACACTTTAATGCTCTTTCCAAATAGATTTTCAGAATTGTTTTATAGACTTATAGTTGGTTAACTGTTAGTGAATATTAAAATAAATCTAAAATGTTGTTTTCACTAAGCTAATAGGATTTCTTCTATTATGCATAAATTCTTTACATAAGATTTTAGTATAGTTTAGATTTTTTAGTGTTGCAAAGTGTTTAGTTTTCTACTAAATTATACATTATCGTAAGTTAGAACTCAAAAAAGAGTCAACCTCGTTTTACAACTTAATGTATAAAAGTACTTCCTTATAGTTTGGATTGAGATAGCTCGTAGCAAAATACGAAACTGAACTGCACGAAAAATTTTGTTCAGGCATTGATTTTTGGCTTTCGCCATAGGTTTTTATTCTCAATGAATTAATTNATGGCAGCCAAAACTGAGGTTGGTACAATACACTAACTTAAAAGGTATTGGTAAATATGTTATTCTCATGTTTTGACGATCTTGATCTCATTGAAGAAGCTTAAAAGCTGTCAGTTAGAACCACACTTTAATGCTCTTTCCAAATAGATTTTCAGAATTGTTTTATAGACTTATAGTTGGTTAACTGTTAGTGAATATTAAAATAAATCTAAAATTTTGTTTTCACTAAGCTAATAGGATTTCTTCTATTATGCATAAATTCTTTGCATAAGATTTTAGCATAGTTTAGATCTTTTAGTGTTGCAAAGTGTTTAGTTTTCTACTAAATTATACATTATCGTAAGTTAGAACTCAAAAAAGAATCAACCTCGTTTTACAACTTAATGTATAAAAGTACTTCCTTATAGTTTGGATTGAGATAGCTCGCAGCAAAATACGAAACTGAACTGCACGAAAAATTTTGTTCAGACATTGATTTTTGGCTTTCGCCATAGGTTTTTATTCTCAATGAATTAATTTTAAACCAAAAAACAAATTCCTAAGATATAGTTAGAAAGAGCATCAAATTCTAATGCTAACTGTTTACTTTTGATTCTTTTCAATGACTTATAAGTAGATAGAAATTGATTAGATAAATTGTGGAAAGGCTTTTTACACAAAGATTACTGATCGAACCGTGGGCAATAAACACGAAACTTTTGCTATTAAGATCATAGAACCAGTTTTATGCATCCTATTCTATTCTGTACTCATCTTCGATAAGAAGGTTAATATCACACAACAGTAGTATAAAGCAAACAAATGACGCCAAAGCTGTACTATGTACGTACCAAAAAAACTAAATATCAAATCTATACATAGACACATTTATATTTACAACATTGAGATATAGCTTGAAAATAAAAGCGTACCTGAAATAATTGTACTTTTGACAATGTATCATAATGAATACTAATAGCAAGTTCAGTTTGAAGGGTCGAAGGTAAAAATGATAATGTTGCATCATCATCTTCTACTCATAAGAAATAAATTTAAAGTTTATTCAAAATTCTTGATATATATATATATATACAAAAAAAAGATCATACCAAGTGTATTTCTATCTTCCCAATTATATTGAAACCAATTTCTAACTCTATCTTGTACAGTTTTTGGTATTCCAAATTTTGTTAAATATTGCATAACTTGTTCAACTTTATTTTGATATTCTGAACGTCTTTGATTCATTGATTGAAATACATCACGTATTTGTCCAATTAATAAAGCAAATATAAATAATGCTAATAAATATCCAGTTATAACAAATACATATTCAGGTCCAGTTTCTGGACTTGGAATATTTCCAATTGTAGATGCAATTTTAAAACAATAATAAAATGAATACGAATATGCACTCATACGTGGTTGATTTTCTAATTTATAAACCCAAGCATTATCAACACCATTTCGACGTTCATAATTTGAAAAAAGAAAATAAATACATGCATATATATGTACAGATAATATAACATATAGAAGTAATGCAAGAATTCTAACAAGACGTACACTTGCA